GGTGCACCACGTGGAGGTAAGTCTATCACACACCCCCTGATTACTTAAATATATTTATTTATTTATATCAAATGGCAGGCGTTTTGATGGTTATCATTAGCCCTTTAGTTGACTTCAGGCTTCACAGAGGGGAGGAACATCAAAGTGGAAAAAATCGAGAGGGGGGGGGGAACAGAAGAGTATTTCAAAGATGTAGGAGACAAACACAAATGTAGAAAAAAGGTGAGATGAGTACTGTGAAATTGTCGAATATGGCACAGAGTGAGGTGATGGTAGTTTGAAGTGAGAACTCAACTGTCGGTTAATAGGCTTTTTTGTCGTGTGAATATACGTTGCCCAGGGTGCACCACGTAAAGGTAAGTCTATCGCACACCCCTTACTTAAATATAACAATAAATGACGTTACATGCTTTTAAAGATTGCGTATTTCAGCATCTGACCACGTTTGCAATGTCGACTTTGTCTCGAAATGTCAATTCAAATCTTTTGACACAAGTTAGATATGCAGAAGTGTATTTTTGCTAGTAATTAAAAGCAACAATATTTAAATTTACTTTTAAAATTACAAACATTTGTGACATTGATTTTTCTGTTAGTTGGAGGATATATTATACATTGAAAATTGTGTCACTTTAAGTTGTGCTTTTGATTTTAAATTAGCTTTTCACTAGAAGAAAAGTGAGCGAAATCAATGGGCCTGACATCTATTTATTCTATAAATTGTATAGCAAACTATATTGTTTTTAATTTGAATTTTGATTTGTTAATTCAATTTTTACCTGTTATAATATTCTGTCCTGTAAATCAAGATCCAATCATGCTAGAACTGAGTAGTTTTAGTTCTACATTAGTAATATAAATAATTCATCTTATTTAGGATGGCGTTTAGGAAGAAAAATAAGCTGTTGTTGTATGCAACACACGAAATAAACGAAGAAATTGCTGAAAAGACCGTGAAAAACTGCGAAACACAGTAGCCGAAATTATTATCTATAATTACTATTTCATCATTTGATAACCTCAATTTTGATGCACTCGTAAAACTGGTGTTTTCCTGTTCCGTAAATCCATTGCCGTGAAACATATATATATAAATACATAAAAATATATAGAGATAGATATAACGGAACAAAAGGTCTTACTAAGAAATATAGATTCAGGTAGTCGGAGAACCCATTATGTCTTTTGTTCAATTAGTTGCAGCCCAACCGATTTGGATGCCTGCTCAGCAAAATACTTATATCTCCAAAACTAATTTGAATTTCGGAAAATCCTTTTGTAGACATATTCTTGAATAGTTAAACCTGTATACCCCTTTAATGTGCCATAGCAATTTCATTTTTGATTTCATTTAGATGCAGTCATTTGATTGGTTTATGTCATGATGCAAATAAATATCTCTGTTCGAATAGACAGCCAAACTTTGCCTAATTCAACTGGGATTCTATGAAACTAAAGAAGTCGTTTCAACACTTTGCATAATTTATTTGATTTATAAAAATGCCATTGAATAACTAATCTACCGTGCACATTCGATTGGTGATTCTTGATGTACTTTCAACCCCAGGGTTCCAAGGATGCTGCACATTCATTCCCGTAGCAATTATTAAACATGCTTTTGACAACATTGAGAACATTTACATACGTGCATTTTCTTTTCGAAACAATTAATTCATTCACTTACTTCATTGGCTTGTGCTCATATAAACGCAGGAAACACAAATCTCTCCCGAAGACCTATATCGGAATGTTAATGGTTAAATTTCCAATCAGGGACCTTTCCTCTATGTCCTTCATAAACCACAGTGTTTAGACAATTTTGAGCATGTTATTCAAATTTGAGATGCTTTAAAGGTCACATTAAAAGCTCAAATATTTCTTATTGGATGCTTTGCAATTTACTACGATATTAAACGCCTTCTCACGTCTTTACCTATTAATTTCCTCGCAATTAAGATGAAAACGAAGTAACACTGCCCATTATTTAGCGTATGGTTTAAAGTAAGGCCATTAAATTTTGAAGTGAGATTTGAAGTGAGCAGTAAACATTAAAATAAATATTTCATGCATTGGTTTACCTTTTGGGGGTGTTTAAGAATAATAGTAGAAAAAATTTTCTTTGGAGAATTCAACCCGATAATCTTTATGAAATTGTTTGCTCTTCGGAGTCAACTTAATCACTACTCTCAAAATCGATTTGCCCAGCTACTCAATTAATATGTCCACAAAGAGAGGGTTTTACCTTAAAATAATTCCAACCGATTTCATTCACTCATTTTCAATAAACACAACTGACCATTATGCCTTCATTAAATTTCTTCAAATGCAGCAAAAACGGCTCACCAAATTAAATGGTTTCGATATAGCAAGGCGTGCTGTCACTTCTGGCAGCATTGAACACAGATGATTTTGTTAGCCAACACGGTTAGTGTTATTACCGCTTATAGAGTCAATAAAATTAAGATTCACATTAATTGATTTAAAATAGTTCACCCATATAATCTTAAATAACGCCTTGGTAATTGATCGATTTAAAAGCATTAGAAATTTGGTAGATGCGTGTGGTAGAAGAAGTTGTGCAGTATGATGACACCATTGACTATTGACAAAATTGACAAATCGGTAATTATCTGATAAACAATGACCTGATTATTTTATACTCTTTACAAGTCCATTCATAGTTTATTTTTTCGATAACTACAACATAATTTCATTGTTAAACCAACGACGGATAATTTATACAGTTCCAACAATTCTTCTTCTTAATGCCTCTCTGTAAAGAAGCCAGATTGACATTTTGTCAATAATTGTTTGCCATTTTAGGGTCTAAACTATTATATGTTGTTTCGTTTCTAAGCAACACAATATGCATCTTAAACAGGCAAATGCATTTCTACCAGTCGCCATCTGCTAAAAATGCTATATTGAAATTCAAAAATAAATTGAATTAAGATTTCTTACGTATTGGCCCAGTCTTCGTTTGTTCGCCGATATAAGTAATGGAGAACTTTCACATAATTTGCATGCAGCTGATAAACTTTGGGGTGCAATCTAATAGTTTTCCCATTGAATATTTATTTTGAACTGAGAGTACAGATTGTGGAATTTGTTATAATATACACTTTTGGACATGTTAACTACTTAATGACTTGGGCCGTTGATTGGTCTGGAGGCCTCAGATATAGGTATGAAAACCATTATCGTTGTTTGAAATGCGTCATTTTCAAAGGGTCATTTTCTTTCAATGCTACTTATATTACCATCCAGCAAGAGAAGTAACGCGCTAATGGACTATCTGCAACATCTAAAATAACACCATTAGATATGGCACTTTTTGAAATTGGTATTTATTGATGAAAACTTTTAATATCCAGGCTATATTTAGATCAACAGAGAGCAGGAGAAGTGTTTCGAGTCAGAATCAAGTATTAATCAAAAGCATTGGATTAGCCTTCTTCAAAATGGCAAATGACAGAGACCATTGATTCAAAATATTGATAAATTAGTTATTTAAGAAATAATTAAATTGACAAGGAATCGATTTTGGCAGTGAACTTGAGATGTCACGGTTTCTGGATATCACTGTTGGCAATAATTTGTTAGGAGGCTATCCACAACTTAGCTATGGTCTCAAGAAATTTTCAAGGACTGATGTGAGTGAACTATTTAAACCAGTTGATGAATAACCTCTATGATCCTTCAAAGTGATCAATTAGTGGCTTAAGAATTCAATAAAAGTTAGAGTCATTTCAGGCCCGGTAAATTTCAAATTAACTTGATAGATGCTATTGTGCATGCTATGAAAAGCGTTTATGAATGCGATAAGGTTGGAAGATGATCAAGAGTTTTTTATGGAGCATCCGAAGAAATTCATCCAAGGCAAAAAGAGGTTGGAGAACAACAAAAGGGCATCATCGGAGGTTTAAAAGTGCGTCAGGTTTATGAAGTGAAAGGTCAAGGTAGAGTATTGGAGGAAAAAGAAAGCCTCAAAGCAATGAGAACGAAGAAAACTAGTGTTGGCTTGAGTTGGGGAGTGAAGCGTTACAAACCCGATATTATAACTACAATTTTTTCTTTATTTTTAACTGTACTTATTAATAATAAGTAGCATTTTGACATCAGATATGTTGTTTAACATCTGCCCCACACCTATTGAAGTTACACATTTGAGAAAGTGATGAAATGCTGACTTCCCACTTAATTGAATTTCAATAAAATTTTAAAACTTACTTTGAGATTGAGCCAAATTGTAACAGCAGTCTTACTCAATGCTTACCCTATATTAGCAATCTCAACGAATTTAGGAAGTTGGGTTATTACGATTTTTTTTTGTGCAGCATATAAAATCGAAGTGATGTTGACGACTACCTGTGTTCTGCTTAAATATTTGTTTACTTTTGAAGTAAGTCTTAAAATCTTCCCGGATTCAATTTTAAGCAAACATGTTATAAGTATTCGATCCATCTGTTAGCTTCTAATTTGATATGAAATTCCATCCAACAGATTAAGCAAAATTAGTAATCTGTTTATCGAGTAGAATTGAATTTGTAAAAAAGGATTAAGTTGTCTTTCACAATCAATTGACTTCGTCACGAAAATCCATGTAATTTTCTTCATCACAATATTAGAACAAGCAATTTGGCTAGTGGAGTCCTGAAGCTGAATTGTTAAAACAACCAATAACTGAACTTTAATTTCATTTGTTTGGGAATATAGACTGAATTGCGAACTATTTGCCAGAAAAAACCATATTGGCAATTCATAATGAATATTGTCTTGTAAATACAGAGTTCATTTATCGTAATGCAGTTTGAGTGACATTTAGACGAACTTTTGATCATGCTTGTTGTAAATATTAACTCGATTAAAAAGAAACATTTCTTGCGGTAGAACTTTTAGGTTATCTACTGAGCATGTTTTGAAATCTTTCTACACTTGGTAAATAGAAACCAACAAACTAAGTACCTCAGCCAAACAATTCGACTCTCATTTAACGCTCGAGATTTCATACAAATTTAATTGATCATTAAATATTCATTTTAAAAGAGTTGGAAAGTTGATCTTTCTCAACGTAAGAAATATTTTCGCAAAATAGCATTGAAATGAGTAAAGATGTTTTATTTTATAACCACAAAAAAATTCTCTTCAGCACGTCAAACCTAGTTTACGTCATTCTAAAAAATACGAGCCTAGAAGTTAAAAGCGGAGGTTAGCCGATGTAATCCAAAAAATTAGAAGATGAGATAGGGTGACAAAATACAAATTGCCAATAAGCTCTCTATTGTTCGAAGTGTTTTAATATGAAGTAAGCATCTCACTGGAGTAATCACTTTGGATTCAAAACTCAATTTGCACCTTCTAAAGGCCTATTTGTTTCTGATTTTCGTCTATTAGAAATCGGAATACCTATTGTCCTAATTGGTGCCTGCAAATTTCTATTGCTTTCATATACAAATATACGGTATCTAGATGGTTTTGACGGAAGTGATGTTTATTGTGTGTGATAGACTTACCTCCACGTGATGCACCCTGGGCAACGTATATTCATACGGCAAAAGTCTATTATTCGACAGATGACTTCTGACTTCAAACTACCATGACCCCACTGTATGTCATTTTCGATCACTTCCAAAGTACTCATTTTACCTTTTTCTCTACCTTTGTGTCTGTCTCTTTTACATTTTTAAACCACTCTTCTCCTCCTCCCTATTGAAATTTTTCACTTTGATGTTCCTCCTCCCCTCTATGAAGCCCGTAGTCAACTAAAGGACTAATGATACCTATCCAAACGCCTGCTATTTGATATAAATAAATGTTTATTGACAAGAAATGCTCTACAATGCAAAATATGTAATTCCGATAATTTCTTTAATATAAAAATATTACGAGGCTTTCAGTTAAAATTTTATTCACATAGTGATCACTTTAAAGCAATATAAACGTACATACCTATATATATACTTCTATTCGTCATAGAATAAAGGCTTACCAATGGACAACACATTCCCCAATTTTATCTTTTGTCATTCCAATATGATCTAATTAGGGCTACTAGGCGTCCAGAAACACGATATTGCTAAATTATCTTCCTATTGAATTTCTTCGATTAAATTCGATTAATCAAGTATGAAATGTTTTCTCGGATGCAGCTCAATACAAGTTGAAATGACATAAATAAAAACATGGAACAGCAAATCGAGTTAGACGTATGAATAAAAAAGATGAAATTGAAAGTGGTAAAGAGTAGTTATGGAGTCAATATCAACTGCTGTGGCATTTCAACGACACTCAAATTATAGAGAATCAATTCACCCAAATGAATCACTACTCCTGCTTCTAATAACAATTCTCTAAGTTGTCACTGAGTTTAATCATTCTAACTGCATTGCTGTATCTAAAAAAATACAGTTTCAACTTGCACTCCTACCTCTGCACTGTAAAAAGAAATTGAAACCCGTATTTTTGCTTTAAAAGGTGCCGTGGGCGCATAAATCTATTCAACATTCAACATTATGAACAAAAGTAGCTATTTCGCTCACAATAGCTAACATAGCATTAACCTGAGTTTAATTTGCAAAGCTAAAACAATTTCTTGCCACGCCGATCATTTGCAAGCTGGTGGTGCGGAGTGTAAAACACACACTGAAGGTTAAATCACCGAGTTCATATTTTCGCACTAAAGTTAAAAGGAATTTTGGAAAGAAGAGGACACTCTATTGTGATCAATGAAATAATATACTGAGCATTTTATTAAAATGCGTTGAAAAGTAAATATGGAATATTGCCAAATATAAAGCCGCCTCTAATTGCAAGAATAATATTGTGACGAATTGTTATAAGCAAATTAGAACTCTTCCCCTGATTCAATGCCATTCTTTAAGCTCAATGTAAATTATCCTGCAATGCTAATCTGATTTCCTGACATGCAGATAATTGGTAAGCTGGTAGTCTTAAGTGAACAACACAATCGGAGTATGAAATAATCGCGGTCTTCAGAAGACGCAAACTGAGTTTTGAATCCTATTGCTATTATTATTTCAAATGGCAGGCGTTTTGAATATTTATCATTAGCCATTTAGCTGACTTTGGGCTTCGCAGAGGGAGGAAATCAAAGTGAGAACAATTCGGGAGGGGAACAGAAGAGTGATTCGCAGATGTAGAGGAGACAGACAGACACAAAGGCAGAGAAAAGGTGAGATGAGTACGGTGAAAGCTGTGTAATATGACATACAGTGGGGTGATGGTAGTTTGAAGTCCGAAGTCAGCTGCCGGTTAATAGAATTTTTTGCAGTATGAGAATACGTTGCCCAGGGTGCACCACGTGGAGGTAAGTCTATCGCACACCTCATGTTAGTTCCAATATCAAAGTTGGTATAGATTTCAAAATATCCTTCAGTTACATTTTTTACTTGTTCTTCCTTTTAGAGTTTTGAGCTTTATCAAGAAGTGGGTTCGCGACACCTCCTATTTCAAGGTCGATTTCGCAGATAATTCCATTTTAAGGCATAAACTTGAAATATTCCTCAGTGGTATCGATGGCGTGCCTTCATTGGCTGAAAACGTAACTGCCATTCTCCGCTGTCTCCATGGTGATCGAGCTAAGGTCGACCAAGTGATTAGGCAATGCGCCCCTGAAAAACTTGACCTTGGATTGGCCCTCACATTCGATCGAGTTCGAATTACTAATGTGAGATAAATCTTTTACATTTTATGCTAATGAGGTGCTGTTTGAATTCCTTATTAATCATGCTGTGGATTTCTAGGTTCATCCTCTTGAATTGGCTCGACAAGTGACGCTTCATGAATGGGATCTCTACTCACGAATTGAGTTTAATGAAGTGAACGGAAGTGAGAAAAACTGGGGTGTCAATATGCGGCGCTCATTGGATTTCTCAAATAAGGTATTTTAATTGGTTTTATCCAGTGTAAATAAATTGATAGTGCGTACCATGTTAATGAATCGAATAGCCTAAAATGTGCAATCGTTACTTGTTCAATGTATTGCTACAAAAAATTTGACAGAAGGAGCATTAAATAGACCTGTCATATTCAATTAAAGTAGCAACATATTTCTTGCGGTCTTCATTAGCTTATTTTCCTTCAATTACTTCCTACCATAACCTATGTTTCCTCCGTTTACCCATCCCGATAGTTTTTATCATTTTATGTAAGATTTTCTTGGTTTAACTACTAATTATGAAAGTGCTTGGGAATAGAGGCATTTTAGCCACAGTCTTAACTGATGTGGCTAACCATTTTGTTCGCGCTGTAGGCATCGAACTCGTTATCTTCGAATGTGCGAATGAGTGCGCCATTTCTAAGGGGCTGACTACTTTACCTTTAAGTTCATAATAAGTTTGGTGTTTTGACAAGAAAATGCTTTATTTAGAAAACGTTCGTAGGGTGGGAATGTATATGCCTGTTTGTATGGATTATAATTCGGAACAGCGGAATCAAAACTATGAATTAATATTTGTCAGTAGCGAAATTCCCGACGATTTTTGGGAAAGTTAGCTTGAGTCGATTGACTGAGAGTTTGGCTGTTCATATTCGAGTTTGTTGCCGTTTGATCGCAATACGACTCCATTTTCTATGTCCCTTAGCTATTAGAATCAGGTTTTGAGATCTTCTGCAACGCTCTATTTGGGGGACAATCAATGATCGATCTGAAAATATTTTTGCCGAAAATTTGGAAAAAGTCCAAATGTTGTCATGCCATTTTACTTTATAAGAGATCTGAAGTGGAGTTTTTAGACCACTTGTATAATAACATACGTAGACAGAGCAGTACTTGAATGGACTCAAATTTAAGTATTAAAAAGTAATACAATCGAATTCAATCACTAACATCTTTGCTCTTATTAAGATAATTTGACAAATTACTCATAAACATATTACGCCTTATACTAATCAACTAATTAGTTGTATATTTACATGAATATAATTTATGAAAAGGGTAGGGAGATTATTTTCATGCATTTTTCCCATTCTGCTAAGAAGAAAATTAGCCTTAAAGTTCCGTTTCTACTACCCTGCAAAGGTTCTTTCAGATCTCTACATCGAGTTTTAACTTTGTCGAGTGATACGCGATATTTGTGGCGATCGGAAACATGCCACTGGGGGTCTTTGCTAATCGTTGATCTGAGAGCGACTTTCTTTGTATATTTATGTATTTATTTATTTATATCAAATGGCAGGCGTTATGAAAGTTATCATTAGCCCCTTAATTGACTTCAGGCTTCACAGAGAAGGAGGAACATCAAAGTGAAACAAGTCGAGAGGGAGGGGGGGGGGGGAACAGAAGAGAGTTTCAAAGATGTAAAAGAGGCAGACAGACACAAAGGTAGAGAAAAAGGTAAGATGAGTACTGTGGAAGGGGTCGAATATGACATACAATGGGGTGAGGGTAGTTTGAAGTCAGAAGTCAACTGCCAATTAATAGACTTTTTTGCCGTATGAGTATACGTTGCCCAGAGTACACCACGTGGAGGTAAGTCTATCGCACGCCCCATTCTTGGTGTATTATTTTGAGGAAATTGAAGAAATGTTGACATGTTGAAAGCATATCGAAGTACATCTTGTTTGCCTTCTTTGCTCAATCTTATTCTAAATAGCGTACGCGCTTGCATGTATCAATTAATGATTTTTGCCTATTTTAATGATTAAAGATTGGTGAAAATAGAGATCAAGGTATCCACTTTTATTTACCTTCTGTTTCAGTTCTTGAAATGGCTCATTTGGAGTATAATGTGCCACCGAGCTCTAGAAGATCGAGTAATCGTTCTTCAGCGCGTCCTTGATCTCCTCATACTCTTTGAAGCTCTTGGCAATCTGCAGGGTACTCAAGAGGCTCGAGCCGCTCTACAAACGTCGCCTGTTCATCGGCTTTCAGAGACCTTCGATGTGAGTTCGATTTTTTTGTATTGTATGCGCTATATCGGAAAAAACTTTCTTACTGAAGTTGACCCTTGTATTCTACTATTTGTTACTGTTGTGCCTGATTCTTGACCCCTGTGATTTACTGGAAGAATATGCAGTAATTGTGGAATGAATTGTAAAATTTTCACTTCATGCTTCTCACGCCTTTCATTTCTCTTCTGTGTAAAATTCTTTTGAGAGAATAATCCATTTGTGGAGTGGAGGGTTTTGTACAATGAAAATAAACTTCTCACTGTCTTCGTTTTATAGGAGTGTACTGTCTTACTTGTATCTTTAAATCTCTTGAAGATTTTCTGACAAAAGGGTTTTTCTTTTGCTTGTGGGAATAGAACCTCGCAAAGCAGTTAGCTATTTCGGAGTCGGTGGTAAGCAGTTTGTTTTTTAAACGTATTGGTTCTTTCTTGGGTCTTTCCTTGTTGTTTTGGAGGTTACCCAGGAATTTAAAAGTGCGTTGGCTATCACTTTGATAGTTGATATTTGAGATGAACTTGTCGAGGGAAGTCCGTTTAGCTCGTAAGATGGCTTGCCTTAGGACAGCTAATTGTCGTCTCCAGGTTTGTACGTCTTC